CCAATTGGTAAATTCATTAATGTGAATTGTACTCATAAGCCACTGAAAAGCTGTTTCATTCTTAGTTAATAACCTAATGCGAAATGTGTGTGTCTGTATGTAAATATTTACTGCCACTGTTTATATTTCTGTAGCACAGTTGGTCTTCATCCAAGTCAAACACCCTCAACAAGATGGATAACATAACAAACACTAGTGTGGTGACTGAGGGATTCGAAACGACAATGTTTAAGATCTCATATCTGCTAAGCTAAGAGAATCTCAGTTAGCATAACAAAAATTAGTAACCTTCTGATTCGAATCTCATCATAGCTTAGGTTTCAGTTAGATCTAATTATCACCCTGAGTCATCAAGACTAGTGTTAAATAAACACTCCTAAGCATGGCTTGATGAAGACACAGAGATTGTTGTCGATTCATGACATCGTATTGTGGTATGTACTACTGATAAGATTTATTAGTAATATATGAAGAGATATTCATCGGCATAAAAATATCAAATAGCAGAGAGATACATCTGATGTCAGAGAAGCAAATGGATACATCGTTGTGGAGATACATGGGAGACGTGAAAGCAACACATGAAATGAGGCCAGAAATAGCACAAAACGGAAGATCTGTGCAAATGATGTGTTGAATATAAGGCGTGTATAATTTGGCTTTATAGAGTTACCAAATTGTAAATAAAGATTCCTTTACCAAGTCTTCGTTTTCTACCGTTTCACTTTAAGTTATGCATATAATCGAAATCACAGGATTTGTCTACAGTACGGTCCTATATTATATGTAACATAATGAATATAATATACATGCCTCAAACTGTCAGGTGTCTGAGGATGAATGCCGTCATAAGTACTGTTATCGTTCCTAATAATTTGTAACAGCAGAACTGCGTCAAGGATGATTCACATTTGGTATCAAATTACCGCGCCTATATCGAGATCAAGAATAAGGAGATTAGAAGAAACACAGTTCAGTAAAAAGTGGATAGATGAGGCATTCACATCAGATTTCGTTTAACTATAAGACGATAATTCCAACAGATCAAAGTGGTTTACTGGATAACGCTTTGGCGTTTGAAACTATGGGCACTGGGTTTGAGGCTTGGTGAAAGCATCATCACTCGCTGCGGAATGCAGGTACATCCAGATGACGAGTCCGGAGTGGAACGGAATGTGCATCCTACATTCCACTACTATTCACCATCCACCAACTAACTCCTGATCAAAGAGAATATTTATACGTTTAGTGAAATAAACTTCAATGGAAAACAATAATAACAGTTGATAAGTAACGATAGAATGAACCAATTCTAACCATACTACTTGCCAGTAGTAGTAGTAGTATAAATCTGAACACAAAAGAAACATTATCAAAGGACTTATAGGAAAGGAATCATGTACTATATGATAACAGGTGATGTGTAACTTAACTTCGTCTTGGAATGCTGCTTAAGGGAATCTGTTCAAAGAATATTTCTTTCTTTCAGAACACTGGAATTATGTGGTCCGCTTAGTGTAAATGAGAAACACATTCATACAGATTTTATTTAGTGCGTCCTACTCATAAATATCCAGGCGAATTGTAACCTACCTTAAAGAGAGACCTCACTTACAGACAAAGTAGAAAATATGTACTGAATAATACACCATAACACTTTGATAACAATTTTTTAACATTATTATAGCCCACACTCGGTACGTTATGGGTACCAAGTAATGCGCCACACAAAATCTCATAGTTTGTACGAGGGCTGGGAGACTGTTCCGGTGCTCAGATCGAAACATGTGATTGCATTAAAGGGCTACACCCTGAGATTTTGCTTTGAAGTCTAAACTACAAAGCAGTAGATCAGCATTAGGAGTTGTATTCCAATGGTTGGACCCTAGTGACCAAAGAAAGTTCATACGTCATTCTATCCTTCCAGATGTAGGAGGCAATGTTCACCACATGTTTGGAACCAAGGGTTTGCATACCTCCTAGGTAAACCTGTATATCTACCAGTCTGGTTGTAAGCGCCAGGCGTTTTCACTTGCTATTTAATCTTTGTGAGAAACACCCTTTGCCACATGAAAGCAGTGAATATGACTTAGCTGGCAGAGGCTATGAGCGCCTGGCCACATGAGAGCATTTCGACAGAAAGACCGAAGTCTACTTATCCTCGACTGTGCCAGATCATTTATGAGGGTAGCGATCAAAAATGACTTTTAAACTCACAATGGTAGTGTTTGGAATGACAAGGCAGAAACTTTGGCAAATCAGTCATTTTTAAGATTTCTGCTCGCGGCGGATTTTGATCTAGTAAACAAAGACTGTGTCATAAGTTCATCTCTTCGTCTCCTCTGCATTTGATATGCGTGGTTAGCTCCTTATTCTTTGAGAGCTCAGCTGATTGTTCCTCTGAAACTTGGTATCTGGTGTATCAGATTGTTTTAATTAATTTATTCTATTAGAAGTCGAAGACTGGAAAATTTGTAACTTACTCAATAAAAACACTGTGTATAGAATAAGGCTAAATTACACCTCCCACTCTCTATTCGTAATATTTCATTCCATTAAAAATTACAAATTGCTCAGAAATAATAACAGTATTGGCTTTATTATCGAAGGTTCTTTCAAAACACAGCATAGAGATCACAGCCTGTTTTAATGAAAGGTATACGCTCCTTGTGCAAAATCTTCAAGTTATATAACAATTGATAATGAATCATTTGAAACAGTATTGTTCCATCCAAAGCTTGTTTCATTACTTCATGAAGTGCTTATTCTGTTTCCTTCGGAAACTTCATAGCATTAAGTCTACATCTTTTTGAAAATTTTGCTTCAGGGTAGGTTAGGATTCATAAACACAGATGGATGATTAAAACGGTATGAAATGTGGTGAAGTGTGATGCATTTTCTTCGATGAAAAATATTTGGTAGGCCAGTGATTTAAGCAGAACGTAAGGTAAACACTTGCTACGGCCTCATTTTAGTTGGTCTACTCCTCATAAGCGAGGTAGTAAGCTATGCAAAACAATTTGCGCATGTAATGTGCATCACGCTATCAGTTTTAAAACTTTCACACAAAGTAACTTTATTTTGGAAAGGTCATTAAGCTACTTAATTCTTTTTTCAGTAGTAAAAATATTTGTTGAAAAGTTTTACGGTTACAGGGCACATATAAATGCATACCTTCCATACTTCATTGATCTGTATGTTGAATTAAGCAATTCTGCTTAGTTGAACTAATCATGATCCTGTTTGAATAAGGAAAATTTTAGTTCACGAATAATTATCAACTCTAAGTCAGATATACTTTAAGTGATTGAGAAAAGTGCACGAGAAATCTTGATTTGAGTAGCAGTCAGTTATTATTATTATTATTGTTCCCTTGGGTTCTCAGTGGAACATAGGGCTTCAACAACACATCTCCACTTCGTCCTACCTTCTGCCATGCACTTCGATTGGGTTCACGAGTGCTCAAACTCCCTTATCTCTTCCTCACACGACTTCCTCCATGTCACCCTCGCACCGACCACCCACTCGTCGCTTCCCATTTGGATTCCCTTCTAGCTATGGCCTTCATTGTACGAGATGTCAAGTTTTTGACCTGAACAGAAGAAGTGACTAACTGACTTAACATTTGTGTTGAATATCCGAATCTTGTTCCTTATGCTGAGGCTGAGTGCAGAAGATTTCCAAACCGGTTTCAGGTTGATGAAGACATGTTTTGCCTTTCCGATTCTGACA